GGAATTTAGAACCCATTGAGGCAATTTTAAGGGATTCAGGTAGTTATAACAAATGTAGAAGCAATTTGGAGATAAATTGGGGGAAAAAATAGGAGAGAGAAAAAAGGGGAAACCATGAAAAAACAAAAGGGAGAATTTTTGGGAAATCCCAGAGAAATCAAAAGATGGTAAAACAGATATAGTGAAATTGAAAAGAAACAAGAACAGAATGGTAAACTCACCTTGGTCCTGCTTCTGGTTTTTCATTACAAGGACACCTTCATACCCTTTGAAGCTACCATCATCATTATCGCTCTCCACCCTTGCCCAAGCTCCTCTTAACCAAGACATTCATCACTGTCATCACACCAAAATCCCCCAACCCCCTCTTGATTTCATTTTGTGTTGTACTTGATTTCATTAGAGAGAGGCGAAATGAGGGTCTTAAGGGTTTTTAAAGGTTGATTGTAGGTTTACTTGTCCGATTTTGGATTTGAACTTAGGTTTGGGAATAGGTTGAAACAGGAGATGAGATCTAGGGTTTGGGATTTACAAGAGGAAGGAGAGAATAAGGTTTTGATGGCTTTAAAAGGTTGGATTACAAGCTTAATTGGTCTGATTTCAGGTTTTGAGGCTCGATTCTAGAAGTAGGTGAAACATAGGGTTTTTTCGATTAAAGTAGGAAAAGGGGAAATTGGGCAAAATTGACTGAGCGTTCCGACTTACCAGAGAATGAAGAGGAAATGGTTTGAGGAAGAGAGTTTGCATACTACTCAAAAGGGAAAAGATAAAAGAGAAGTGAGTGTTGGGTTTTCCATCATTCGGGATTTGCAATTTGGAGAAGAGTTAATGGAACCTGGGGCTTGGATGAGAGAGAGCGAGAGAGATGAGAAAGATGTAGGTCTAGGACATACATCATGGAAAGAGTTAATGGAATCTCAATATCGATTGTTAATCAGCGATGAAATTTACAAGGCCTAGCAACGCCTAATATGACGAGTTGGGTGACCAATTTAGCGATGGAATACATCTTTTTTACGATGAAAATGTCTTCACGAAAACAACAATGGAAATTTTTTTCTGTCACCAGGATTAGCAACAAGCATATTAATAATAGAATAAATTTCATTGCTAGGCCGTTACTAAACAATTTTAGCGACGACTATTTCATTGTTAGCAACGAAAAATCTATCGTTAACTGTGGCTTTTCTTGTAGTGTATCTTGTCAAACGACACCCATCATTTGGTGTGAAAACATCTATGCCACATATTTGGTAGCTAATCCAGTTTTTTTAAAAAAAGATCAAAGCATCTTGAGATTGATTTTCATTTCGCATGTAAGAGACAAGGTACACAAGAAGGAATTACCAGTTTATTATCTGTCCACCGATGATCAAATTATTGATATAGTCACCTAGGTAGTTTCCAAATGAAAATTTTTGCTGTTTCGAGACAAATTAACAGTAAAGCCTATTGCTCAGTTTGAAGGAGGTTGATGGAGATATACATTGGTTTATAATTGAGTACGTCAGAAAAGTTAAGAATTAACACTAATATCTAGCAATTATTTGTAACTAGATAAAAGTTCTTTTGTTTGTATAAATCTCTCTTCTATAAATAGAGTTTGATAGTAATACAAAAGTTTAAGCAAATATTCTTTAATGGCCACCTACCACAAATGCTTAATGTTTTTTTTTAAATGAAATTCAATTCTAATTATTTAATTTAATATCTTTGACTTTCTAGGCTTAAACATTGAGATCATGACCCAAAAGGATTTATTAAAATTTCTTAAACCAGCTAATATATATATATATATATATATGTACACACCAATGTGATAGGTGTATCCTTAAGAACATTCGAACAAATCCCTTGCAATCGAATAAAAAAACTTATGTGGGAGTTTTTTTTTATAGTTTTTTTCATGGAATATGAATCATTTATCAATTTTATGATCTACAATCTATTATTAATCAATTCACACATCATTCTATATTAAAATTTATAAGGATTAAGTTTGGAAATCATTTTTCATACAAAAATTGGTTCTCAAATCCCAAATGTGTTAAAAGAAAGAGAAAGAAAAAGGAGAGAGAGGGAGCTTTATAGAAGAAGATGAGTTATTAAGAAGGTTACATACCTACCCTAAGATATGTATCGAAAATGACATTTATAGGCATTTTTTTCTGAAATATTGGGTATAATAAAAAAAAATTAAGGATGCTAACACACACTTATCTATATATCTATATATATAAATACACACACCCCTCCATTATCGTTATCACTCCACCAAGCTAACCCTCTCCATCTTTACTACCACCCTACATCTTGCTAACTAGCTAGCTCTCTACATATACCAAGACATATGATTCCCCGAAGTGACTTCTATTGATCCTGCTAAAAGGAAGAATGTTTTCATTTCAAACGCTAATGAGGAGTCAAATTTTTCTATTGATCCCGATCCTTTAAATTCTCAAAATCCTCCTACAAAATCTCAAAGAGTTAAAATCAAAAAAGGATTTGATATCAATTCATTTGATCTAGGATTACGACCATAAATATGGGAGTATCCTACTAACAAACGTGATGAAATTCGAAGAGCCTATATTAATGCTAGTCCATATCAGCATGTGCTTTTAAATTATCCAAAATCCGAGGAAAAACATCATCGTAGTTTCCAAGCATCTTGGTTTAAATTATTTCCATCATTGCTAGAATATTCTCCAACCAAAGATATTGTGTTTTGTCTATCATGCTATTTATTTCACACACCAAATGGATCTTTTAGATCAAATGCATTTACTTGTTTATGGATTTCAATCATGAAAGAAAGTTAGGGATGGTAAAAATTTTGCATTCTTAGCACATTATGGAAAAGATCTCACTTCCCCTCACGGAACTACCGAGAAAGCATGTGAGGATCTCATGAATCAACCTTTGCATATTGAGAAAAAGTTTATAAAATTTACTTCTCAACAAATTACGGATAATTGACTTCGATTGAAAGCTTCAATTGATATAACTCGATGGCTTGCATTTCAAGGATATGTATTTAGAGGTCATGATGAGACCAAAGCATCAATGAATCGTACGAATTTTCTTAAACTATTGAGTATTGTGGCATCTTACAATGACAAGATAGCATAAGTATTGACTAAAGCTTCATAAAATGCCTCATACACATCATCAAAGTGCAAAAGAAAATTTTAGTAATCTTGATAACTAAAGTCAAGAATGCTATCCGTGAAGAAATTGGTTATGCAAAATTTTGTATAATTGTTGATGAAGCTCGAGATGAGTCTAAAAAGGAGCAAATGGCTATTATATTGAGATTTGTTGACAAAAATGGATATGTATGAGAGCCTTTTTTTGGGCTTGTTAATGTAAAAGACATTGTTGCATTAACATTGAAAGAAGAAATATTTTTGTTCTCTCTCGTTATAGTCTTGATGTTTAGAATATCGGAGGATAGGGTTATGATGGTGCAAGTAATATGCGAGGGGAATGGAATGGGTTACAAGTTCTAATTTCAAATGAATGCCCTTTTGCATACTATGTTCATTGTTTAGCTCATTGTTTGTAGTTGGCATTAGTTACTTGGATCAAAGGAAGTTATCCCTATCCATCGTTTTTTCACCATATTGAACTCCATAATTAATATCGTTGGTGCTTCATGTAAGCGTAATGATTAATTAAAAGTCGCTCATGCTACAAATATTGCTTATTTACTTTCCACTCGGTGAACTTGAACGTGGGAGATGGCTTAATCAAGTTGGTGGTTTATAAAGATCTAGGGATACTCATTGGAGTTCTCATCTAAAATCTATTCCTAGCTTGATGAATACATTTAGTGCAACTTGTCAAATTTTACTGAATATTATTGAATATGGAACTACAACTACTTAGTGTGGAGACACGAGATGTCGCTTATGAGGGATTAACTTTTTTGGAATTTGTTTTCATTATGCATCTAATAAGAAAAATTTTAGAGATATTTGATTTAATTTTTCAAGCTTTACATCTTCAATCTCGGGATATTTTGAATGCAATGCATCTAGTTTCTTCAACTAAATTACTCATTCAAAAATTAAGAGATGAAGGATGGAATGAATTAATTCAAAAGCAAAATCTTTTTATGAAGCGAGTCAACATATGCATACCGGACCTAAGTGCTCATTATGTTGCAAGAAAAGGAAGGGTCCGTTGTCAACAAGATGCAATTACGGTTGAGCATCATTACAAAGTTGATATATTCAATTCTATGACATGATTCTCAATTGCAAGAACTGAATAATAAATTCAATGATCACATGATAGAGCTATTCATTCTTAGTTCAGCTTTGGATCTTAGAGAGATGCACATATCATTTAGGATTGATAACATTTATAAGTTGGTGCAAAATTTTACTCTTAAGACTTTGCTGATTATGAAATGTTGCAATTAAAGATGCAATTTGAGCATTTTGATCATGTACGAAATCTTTTTGATTTCAAAACATTATCAACTATATCCGATTTGTGTCAATGGTCGATAAAGACAATAAAATTTGAAAGTTATCCATTTGTGTATAAAGTGATAACACTTATTTTTACTCTTCTAGTTTCTATAGCTACTATGGAATGGTCATTTTCAGCTATGAATATGATCAAGACTAAACTTCGTAATAAGATAGAAGATGACTTTCTTTTCGATTATTTGTTAGTGCATATTGAAAAGGAAATTATTGAAAATTTTAGTATGGATTCGCTTATGGATGATTTTGGTGACTTGAAAGAACGAAGATTTCTATTTTAAGTGCTTGTATTTTGAGATTATTTTAAAATATATATTGGAATGCTTTATATATGTGTGTGTGTCAAGCATGATAAATTTATAAATATTTTTTTGGCCCTCGCTGCTGAAATCCCAGCTTTTCTTTCTTTTGGTGTCGTAAATGGGGTCTCAAAGAAATAATCAATGCTTGACAATAATACTCCTTCTTATCATTATTTTTGTATCATGTTTCCACCAAATAATGGCAGCAAGGCCATTAGGGAATGACGATCAGATTGGAGGTATTAGCGATTATGGATACTTTGAGGGAGATGGAAATTCCCACCATTCCTTTTGCCTATATCCACGTCATAAGTGCAGGATGAACGGGCCTCCATGATATGACGCCGGAGGAGAGAGGTGGTTTATATATATATATATATATATACTTGCCAAAAGCTAGCTTGGAAGGCATAGCTACCCTTAGTGTGTCACTTTTTTTCATCATGATTTGAAGCAAGAGAATTGTTTTGGTATGCTTTGCTAGTATTTGTTACTTGTTTTAACCATGTTCTTGTTCTAACCGTGTATTCTTAACAGAAATTTGTCATCCTTAAAATTTTAAAACTTCTGCTCTCTCTTAACTCCCTCCTCTCAAGAATAATATACCCCTCCGAGCTTCTCAGATCTAAAATCGTTTTTAGATTTGGGTGACGTATTATTGTTATTATTATTATTTTCTTCTTTTTCTTTTTTCCTTTTCTTTTCCCATGGGTTTTTTGTAATATATTATTGCAAGTGGTGAGTGATGGTGGAGGTTTGGTGGTGAAATTGTTAGATGGTTCGTTGGCCCAAGATGGAAGATGGTGCAGCAGGTTATGGTGTCAAGTTATTGTGGAGATTACTGTGATTTGTGCTATTTTGTGTCAACTAATAAAAAAAATGAACTAATGGATAGTTTATGAAAATTTACTAATTCCTCAATACGGATGAAAAATATGTAATAGTGATCTTTGACTTTTCGTACAGTTTAATAAATTTATTAATTATAATGTCACATTAGCATTTTTGAACAATACCTTTTTAAAATATATATTTTTATTTATGTAGAAAATCTATTTAATTTAATCATGCATTACAACATAAGGATTTTTTTTTAAAAAAATATATTAAATATATAAATATTTTGGGACAAATATAAATTAAAAAAATAGACAATCTCTTTAAAATAAAAAGAGTACTAAATGAGATTATATAAAAATTTTTGGATAATATATTCATTCATCTTTATACTGTAGTTGCATTATCTCATGTGACTTTTTGAGAATTTTAAACATAAATATCATTTAGACCAACATAGAAGTCAACAAAAATTGTTATAATTCCATAATGACTAATAGCCTTATTTTCCATTTTTTTTTTATTTCCCACTTACTTTACATTTAAGTCAATTTCCAATTGTTTCATTACATTCACAACTTGGATATATAAATTTTAAATTTTCCAAGTATATATATTCTAGGGATACTCTCTCTCTCTCTCTATATGTATATATGATTTGTTTAAAAAAAGTTTTTTTTTTTTTTTACCTTCATCTAGTAAATTAAACTTTTAGTATCGGTACTGTAGTTTTTATAGTTTTATTAAATTCAAAAGGGAAAGGAAGTGTGTTAGTAAAAAAAAAAAAACTATTCTTTGAAGGTCACCAAAAACTTAAATTTTTTAATTTAAATTGTTTTTTTGACAACTGCCATGAACTGAGATGGGCTTACGACAGCCCAATAGCTCAATTGTAATCCACTTGAGTGGTGGTGGAACATTTCATTTTATTTTATTTTTCCAAATTCACATGCACATGCACATTTATCATTCAAAAAATTCAATTCGATGAAGAGATGCACAAACATATATTTTCTTAGAGGTAAGCTTCCTGCAGGACTTGGATCCTTCTCAAAGTTGCAGGCATTCATTTTTATAAATAACAATCTAGGTGGAAAGATATCAATTTTGTTTTTGTTTGTTTGTTTGTTTTTTTTTTTTTTTTTTTTTGGAAATCTTTCATCTATTGTTAAAATTAATGGAAAAGAGAATCATTTACAAGGAGGTATTACCAATAGTATTGGGAAGTTGAAAAATTGAACTTCTTTTTCGTTGGCTCAAATTATTTGAGTCGTACAATCCCTCCCACCCCATACAATGTATCTTCCTTCATTTCTCTCTGCCTTTTAATTAACCAATTTCATGGTACACTTCTTCCAAACATACGCCTAACTCTTCCAAATCTCAAATATATTGGCATTCAGGGCAACACTTTTACTTGTGTGTTAATTTTAATTTCCTGCACTACGCAAATGGACGAAATGGTCACAAATACAAATATTCATGTAATATAACAATAGGTCATCATTCATCTTCCAAGTCAAGATCAACTCAACAATTAATGGAACCAGGAAGGAGTTATACATCCACAATCGCAGATTAGGCCTATCTCCCATTAATTGCTTTTTTGTTATTCCCCACTTCGCATCCAAGTCAGTTTCCAAGTCGCGATTAGTCCAAGTTGAATATTTGAACCTGTGTTTTGTCCTCGTGGAATTCAAGAAATCACAGCTAGCAGATATTGGAGGGAAAAAAAAAAAACATTGCTGCAATAACTTGAAGAAATCACAGCTAGCAGATATTGGAGATATGTTGCTTCTTGATAATAAAGTGAAGTTGCTATTCTAACACATGCTACCGTCATGTCATGTTTTTCAAATAAGCTTAGAGTATTTTGATGATGATATATAAATACTAATTTAGTATTTTTTTTATCAAAATATTATTTAATTAATGCTTTATTTCAAAAAAATTATATACCGAAATTGATTTTGATTCATTTGAATTATGACATGATTTCACTTTAAAAAACTTTGAAAGTTCTAACGAGCCACCGAATTAATAATAACTTTTTTTTAAAAAGAAAGTATATTATACCAATGTTGTTGATTTCGTGCCTAGCATAGCATGTTTCACGAAACATATATATATATATACACTTCATTATCATTGCCATACAACGATTGATCGAATTTTAAAGTATGAAAGATAAATGCTAGAGGTAATTCTTCAATCTATTGAAACCAAAGATATATCCTCATTTCCTAATAAATTAAGGGAGCGATCCCTCTTTTTGTTGAAACCAAAACAAAAAAGAAATCATTTTTCCTTCTCTAACCAAAACCCTTAAAGTTTTGTCTAGAAAAACATTATGAAGCCTAAATGCTGATTGTGGGAAAATTAATATAGAAACTCTCTCTCGTTCTTTTATTATTATTATTATTATTATTATTATTATTTCTTCCCCATGAATGTGGTTTGTATATAGGGGCTATTGGTTGTTGCAATGGCAATGGTCTTAGGCTCTTAACCATAAGGTTGCAAGTTTAATCCCGAGATTAGTCGTTTTATGCAAAATTATGGAGGAATACTTCATATTCTCCCATGTAGGACTTGCTTCGGTGGGAAGATAACTAGGTGGCTTTTGATGGATAATTTTTTGTTGTTACTCTTTGAATTGCAGGCTCTTGATACATTCAACTTAGCAGTGGTGTCTCCTATATACTATGTGATATTTACTTCATTAACAATTGTGTCCAGTGTAATCATATTCAAGGTAACCTTTTTGTTAACTGACAATACATATGTATATATTGATATATAGACATGTAAGTATGTGTGTGTGTGATAGATGGTATTTAGGTGAAGTAATATTGGATTTCATGTTAGCTTCAACTTAAGTGATGATGACTAGAGAAACCGAAGCATAATTCAAATGATAATGAAACATTACTACAAATAGGTTGCATTGATGCTTTGAAAATACAAATGAAACAATTAATTTGTACTATGTGTGTTCTCCGTATTTTTCTCTCTTTGAAGTTTGAAGTACTTTTTAATTTTTATTTTTTGTCCGCACTCATCTCATTTCCAACACTAATCGAGTCTTATTTGTTTGTGACAATGGCTCGATCTTCGATACTTGCTAATCTTGTTACTATTGCTGTCTCGGTGGTTCCTCGGCTATTGCCAAGGAAAAGGAGAAGAAGGTAGAGCATGCTTGAAGACTTGGGTTTCGGCCTCTTTGACTAAGTTTTTTGTTGGTGTTTATCTAGGATTTTACCATATTGTGATGCGTATATTTCAACTTTTTATTAGTTTGTTACCCATTGTACGTATTACATTATGGATGGGGTATTGTATTTTAGTTTCTTACTAGTTTATTATCCACAATATGCTACACAATAAATAAAAGATGTAGTCGTTATTTAAAAGATATTTATTTGCATTTAACAAGGTGTAATTTTTCTTAATTTATTTGTTTTTGGGCCAAAAAATGGAGTAAATTATTGAATTCGAAGGTGAAATAAAACTATAATGCTAAAGACGGTTACACAATCACCCTTATAAATTCTAAAATTTGAAGCTACCGTAATCGTCCCAAATATTTCGTGTTAAATTTTTAAAAAATGCGAGAATGTAGAGGCGGTTATCAACCACCGCATAAATTACAAATCAAAAAAAAAAAAAACGAAGACACAATTGGCATTATAGAGTGCATTGCAACCGTCTCAAAACAACCGCCTCTTAATTCCCTAGTGGTTGGAAAAACCACCTCTACAACATAGAGACGAGTGGCATTGCGAGATGATTTTGAGGAGGTTCATAAAATCACCCTTAGACTTTCTAGAGGAGGTTATAACCACCTCTAGAAGAGAAAAAAACGACCTCCAATGCTCTTTTTGGTGCGAGTGGGTTATCATTGGCACAAACTATGTTAAAAAAATATATCGTATTAAATAGATAAATAAAAAATGACTAGTATATAAAATTAAGAAATGGCAATCCATCATAAAATTTAATCATTTTAAATGAAATACAATCACAACTATCTAACTTTATATGACATCATAATCTCAAAAAACGCTATCGATCCAACAAAAATTTTGAAACCGAAGCCATTTGAAAGACTCTAAAAAATGGATTGGAAGTAAGAAATGGTGTTAGAAAACATATTACATATTAAATAGATAAGAAAATGATAAATAATGTATCAAATTGAGAAGAAGTCACCCGAGTAAAAGCCTTAAGTCTTTTGCATGGAATTTAATCTCAACTATCTAACTCTACAAATAATGATTACCCATAAATATCCTCAAATCTTTTCTCTCATCCTCTCTGTCTCTCTCTCTCTCTCTCTCTCTTTGTTTGCTCTACTTTTTGTTCTCACCTCTCTCCCCCTCTCTCACTCTCCCTTTCTCTCTCCTCTCCCCTCCCTCCCTCCTCTATCTCTCTCTCCCTCCTCTCTCTCTCTCTCTCTTTCTCTCTCTCATATTTGTTTGTGTTATTTACTTCTTCTTTTTTTTAAAAAAATTATTATTAAATAAATTAGAAAAATAAAGAAAATAAAATTCAAAAAACTTATTCAAAACAATAATATACTTTCTATCTCGAAATATTACTTGTTATTTTTCTAAAAAAAAATCAAGAGGGGCAAAAAAGAAAGAAAAAAACGCAATTGTCCTTAATTTAGTTTAGATTTCCGTTGCATAAAAAGAGTGTCTCGGGACATGAATCTCTCTTTTATCACAAACAAATATTTATTGTAAATTTTTTAAAGTTCAAACTTCAAAATAATTATTATGGAGTGTGTAATAACCAAAATGTACTCATTTTATTTTATTTTATTTGTTTTTTTATTTATTTTTATTATTATTATTTAAAAACCAAAAAAATAATAAAAAATGATGAAAAAACTCAAAAACATTCATTCAAGGGCACAATTGTATTTAAAGGAAGATATAATTGAGGTAATTAGAGGTACGATTGAACCAATTGAAAAATTCAAAACCTATATTGCACCCTACAGGGAGCCAATTGATAAGATTGTGCTTTATAAGGATTGAAATTATATCACGGAAGGACATGATTGCTGATAATTGAAGTTCACGAGGACCAAACTAAAGGTTTGGAACGAACGATAGAACTGCAATTGAGAAGATGACTCGTCATCCACGCCAATGTAGATTCTCTTCGAAAATCTTTCGGAGAATCTGCCTAAATCCCCCATAAATTTTCTATTTTGATTCTAGATTTATCATGATTCTTGACTGAATTAATTTTGACAGAGAATCAAGCAATCACTAATTTATTTCCTTGTTGATTAGCTAATTGAATCTCAAATTTGAGATTTTAAAATTTTGATAGCAAAAGTCGGGATTGATGGTTGATTCTAGGAGAACTTCAAGGAGATTTATGGCTATAAAAAGGGTTTGAATTCACAGAAAAAGAAAGGGGGAGAGGAATTCTGGTTTTGAAAGGGTGTGAAAATCAATGATTTTTTTTGGGAAATAATTGCTGCATTTTTGGACCTTTCTGGATAGAAGTTGTTCTTCGTGTTCTTCATTATTCTTTATTTCGGTTTTAGAGTTCATCCCTTTTTGGACTTGTTGCTTGATCTTTCTAAGTTTAGGGGCAATTAACATAAGTTCTTTAACTTTAATTTCGAGGTTTGAAGCTTCAATTAACATTTTTGGGGTCTTTCATTCAAATCTTATTGGGCAGCGTTGGTCTCTTTTTGAGTTTTGTGTTCTTCACTTTTCTGGGTTTTTAAGCTCCCGGCTTTGTTCCATTTTTTCCCTTTCACTAAAAATTTATGGGTAGAGTCCTTCGTTGGTTTAGCTCCCAATAATCCATAAACTTCCAAGCAAATTGTCTTCACCAAATCTAGCTCGAAGCCATCATTCTAACCTGTAAAAAAAAAAAAAAAAATCAACAGTAATCGCAACGGCAAGTCCAAAATTGTTCTTCATTCCCTTGGTGTTTCTCAGGTAAATCCTAACACCAAAATCATTCCACTTTTTGCTATCTTAATTTGTAGGTTGTTTTTATTAGAGTGTGAAAAAAAAAAAAAAAAAGAATGGGACGCTACTGCTAGGGAAGGCAGTGGCGATGAACGAGAGAGAGAGAGGGTCAAAAGTTTAAAATTCCCGTTTCTGATTTGAAAGAATGAGAAATAAAAAAAGGGGAAGTTGTTTTGGGTTTAAGGACCAGCGGTGAAGCTTTTTTTTTTTTTAAAAAAAAAGGAGATCACGTGGGTTGGGCTTAATCCAGTCCACACGAGCTGAATGGCTGGGTTGGCTTCAACCTAGCCCTAGCCTGGCGAGAAGAAAAAGGGAGGAAAGAGGCTGGACCCTTTCCTCCAAATCGCGAAGGAAAGCTGGAGTTAATTTAGCTTTTACAAAAAAAAAAATAATAAAGAAAGGAGTGAAGAGGCGAAAAGATAAAAGTGAGGAATTGGAATTAAAAAGAGAAACGGAACTGAAAGGGGTAGGAAAGATATTAGTGGGCTTAGGATCCAAACTAGTTTCTTTTAACATTCCGATTTTTTTTATATGGCCTAATTATTGTTTTTTCTTTTTTCTTCTTATATTTTATTTACTTATTTATTTGCAGTACTTTAAAGTTGGTATCATAATTTTTTATGTGAACTTATTTTTGTGTTGTTAGATTAGAAAAAAATAATAAAATAATAAATAATAAAAAATAATTGACTAAGTCTCCTACTCGGTAGGAACCGACGTCACCAAAAAATATATCTAAAATTTTTGATGAAGTCTCCTATCTTATAGGCACCGACGTCACCAAAAATCAATGTTTAATCAAGATGTCCTCCGACACATCGGTTGTGTCAAGGCTTTTAGTGGATCGGATGTTTGAACCGACGTGTCACCCGACGAAAGGGACCGACGATCGTTTCAATACGATGCCACGCTCAAACTAAAAAAATTAATTTGACTTTGAAAAAATAGGAGTTTAAAAATTAGAAAATAGTTTGACATGGATTTTTAGGAGATGAATTTAGAACTAAATTAGACGTGATACCTTTCTTCGGAAAGGGCATTTTTGGGTGATTAAATATCTTTCCAAAAGTGTAACCAACTTCTTACCATAGAATCTCCGAACCGGTGTCTATTTTAGGTTCCTAGTTCCTTCAATACTAGGTGGCGACTCCAAAACTCTGTAAATAGTTTTTTGTAAATAATTAAAACTTAGATTTAATTTTTTTGAAGAGTTACGTCCGACGTCGTGTAGTGACAGAGTATAATGAAGCGAAGTCCTGGCAATGAAAAAAGCATTGGAGATCGGTGTGGCTTATCCTCTAACTTTAAAAGTCAATTGGATTTTGGAATCGGATATAGCAAATACAATTGCTTGGATTCAGAAATGTGAATGTGAATGCGATAGGCCTTGGAGACTACAAATATCTTTAATTTTATTTCAGTTTTGATTAAGTACTTGAGATTAGTTATTTTCAATCATGTTATTAATCAGAGAAAGCAGTTTTATATAAAAGTAATGAGTTCTTCATTTGGTTGTAACATTTCTTTTCTTATATTTTGGCCAGCAGCTATTTAGCTACACATCTCTCTTTTCTTTAGTATATGCTCTTGACTTTCATAACAGAAAACTTCAAACAAGTGATTATTCAATATTCTTTACATATGTTAAAAAAATTAAAGGAAATAAAACGGGGCAAAGCCTTTTGGTAGATAGTAAGAGTTGGAATTGAAATTTGTCGATACCCCATGTAAAAAGCCACTCATTTTTGTTTTGATGGTCCAATTAATTCTTTGCTTAAACTAGGCTTTCCTCTCCTGTAACGCTGATCACTAACCATTAATCTATATTTATTTGTACAAATAAAATAAATAAAAATCCTAAATACACAACCAGCTAGTTAGGTTAATAATGAATTCACCAACATAAGTTGGCATAAGTTGACATAGCTTAATGGTTATGTATCCGATAGTTTTTTTAATAAAATATATTCAAATTCAAATAACTCTAATTTTATATGATTATTATATAATGAAAAAAAAAACTATCTTTTATTGTGTAATATAAAACCAATAAACTTACATATGAAACCAAAAATAAAAGTAAAACATAAAAAATAATGAGTTCATCCAAAAGCATCGGAAAATTAAGAATATGCCACCAAAACAAGAACCTGGTGAAAATAAGTAAACCAGCAAAGTACACAAATAATTATCATCCTTCAAACATGGATAACAAAGTGACACACTAGTGGTACTAGCGGTGCCTTCCAAGTTGGCTGTGGGAAAGTATAAGGAAACGATTGCTCATTCAGCATTTGACTCGATACTCAAACCATCCCCTCCTCCTGCGTCATTTTGGAGGTCCAGGTTTTCCTGTACACCTAGCCAAGCTACTGCTGCAAAAGTTAGCAGTACCCCAAGTTTCATCATCATCACTCTCTAATGCCCTCGCTGCCATTATTCGGTTGGAGCATGATAGAAAAATAATAGTAACAAAGAGTATTATAGTCAAGTATTGATTATAATTTCTTTTAGATCCCATTTACGATTAAAAAAAAAAACTGGGACTTTTAGGGAATCAAAATGTTTTCGTATGTGTAGAGAGCTAGCTAGTTAGCAAGATGCAGAGTGGTCGTAAAGAAGGAGAGGTTTAGTTAGGTGGTTCGGTAACGATAATGAAGGAGAGCAGCGTATATATATATAAACATATAACGTGAAACATGCTATATGACGTACGAAATCAACAGCATTCATATTATATACTTTCTTTTTCAAAAAGTTATTACTAATTTGGTGGCTGCTTAGAACTTCAAAAAGTTATTACTAATTTAATATTTGATCAAAAATACTAAATTAGTATACATATATCATTATCAAAATACTCTAAGCTTATTTGAAAAACATGACGGTAACATGTGTTAAAAATAGCACGTCACTTTATTATCAAATGAAGCAACTGCACTTATCTCCAATGAAATGAAGTTATTGCAGTAATGTTTTTATTTTCTGCAATATCTGGTAGCTATGATTTCTTCCACTGTGACAAAACACAAGTTAAAATATTCAACTTGGACTAATCGCGACTTGGCAAATGACGTCGATGCAAAGTGGGAAATATTTATGAAAAAAGAAAAAAAAATTAATGGGAGATATGCCTAATTTGAGATTGTGGATTTATAACTCCTTTCTTGTTCAATTACTTATTGAGTTGATCTTGACTTGGAAGACGAATGATGATATATAGGTATATTTTTATGAATATGCCGTATCTGTGACAATCTTGTCCATTTGCACCAGTCGCTTATCTTCAACTAGACATCCACAGTTGGCCAACCAAGTGACCCATTTCAATCGAATGAACCAGTATCCATCACTGGTCACCCCATTTTGTGAATTATCAATTGAATGAAATAGATAAGCCCTCATCTCCACTTCTTTAGTTTCTTGCTTAAAACGTTGAAATTTCACTCCTTAAGCTAGTTCAAGACAGATTGATGACAGTGACATGGCACTATCATCATGGAATTCCACATTGGTTGATTTATTGGATTAATTGATTTAAGGCTATTAGGGTTTAGGCTAGTAGGAAGAGAATGATAGGTTTAATTGAAAGTTTGGGGCTTTGGGATTTGAAGTGTTTAAAAGATTTAAGCGAAATAGACAAGCTAGGGTTTCAGATCTGAAAGAAAAAATAGTAGATAGAGGGGTTTTCTTAGAGTGTTTTGGTTTAGAATAGTAGTGAAGCTAAGGGTTCTAGTTCGAAGGGGAAGAAGAAGAGATTGAGGAAAGAATAGAAGTAAGGATATCATTTAATAGAGCTATAGTTTGGGTCTGAAAGAGAGAAGAAGAGATTGAGGGGTTTTCTTAGAGTGATTTGGTTTAGAACAGAAGTGAAACTTAGGGTTCTGGTTCGATGGGGAAGAAAAGAAGATTAAGGGAAGAACAAAAGTAAGGGTTTCATTCGATAGAATGAGAGATCAATTGATCTCAAATTTAGGGAAAGAGTAGATGATCTAGGATTTTTTTTATTAGAGAAAGATAAGAAGGGGATTGATATGGTTTTCTAGGTGGTGCTTGAGAATTTGAAAAGAGATGGGTTAGGAGAAGAGATCATTTTGATCTCAATAAGATTTTCTAAATTAGTTTGAAGGAGAAGAAAGGAAATGAGAGAGATGAGCAACTTGTGTTTTGATCTAGAAAAAAATTCAAGATAGGTGGGGAATTTTTTTGTGAAGTGAGGTTTTGTTAGATTGAAGCAAAATGGGAGAGGATCTAGGCTTAGCCCAGCTCATGTGCAACCAAGCTTAGGTTGATTTTATTCTAGCCCATGTTTGAAAAAAAAAAAAAAGGCTAGCCTACTAGTAGGTCAAGCTCCCTCGTCCCAATGACCCTAACTTTAGCCATTTTTCTAAGTAAACTAGTTAAGAAATTTTAATACATGCTTTTTTTTATACTTATTTTAGATTTAATTTTTAAAATTTATAAGTTCTTTATGCCTATTTATTTATGTAGTCAATGTTAGCTTTTTTAATTTTATTTTGATAACTAGATTAGGTGTTAATAGGTGGACGAGTAATTGAGTCTTCTAATTTTTAAGGATCGATGATGACTCTCCACCAACAATATATAAAAGAAAATGATAAAAAAATGATGATGAAAATGATAAAAGAAAATAGAGAGAGAAAAAAGAAGAAGAAAATGTTAGACAAAAAATAAATGAAAAAAAAAAAAGAAAGAGAAAAAAGGGAAAAGAACAAAAGATAAAAAAAAAAGATAAAAAATGCTAAGTGGAAATTAACAAAGTTTTCTATCTATTAGAGACCGATGCTAACTAAAATCAATCATATTTTAGTAATTATATTATTTTTTAACATACCGATTATGTTGAGACTTAAACTAGATCCGATGTTGAATTGACAAGACTTCGACGAGTAGGGTCCAACGATTAATTCAATATGGTGCCAAAAACAAAATAAAAAAAATTAATTTAGTGTAGGAAATAAAATTTATAATTTTTATTTAGGATTAATTTTGACAAAAATAGAAATTTTCGGGAGATAAACTTTAGGATTAAAATAGATATGGTATGTTTCTTAAGAAATGGTACTTTTTGGTGATTGATATCTTTCAAAAGTCATAGCCAACTCTTTACTTTAGAATCTCTCAACTAATGCCCATTTTAGGTTCCTAGTTACTTTTAGGTGGCAACTCTAAAATTTTAATACATGCTCTTTTTTTTTAAAAAAAAAACTTTTATGACTAGTTTGGATTTAATTTTTTGAATTTATGAGTTCTTTATGCTTATTTTTTTATTTAGTCAATGTTTAGTTTTTTTTTCTTTTAGGTTCTTTGACATACCAATTATGTTGAGACTTAAAGTAGATCTAATGTTGAATTGACTCGAAATCCGACGGCGAGGTCCGACAATATATTCAATATGATGTTACAAAATAAATAAATAAATAAATTGGTATAGAAAATAAATTTTGGAATTTTGATTTATGATTAATTTTGACAAAAATAAAAATTTTTAAAACATAAACTTTAGGACTAAAATAGATGTGGTATCTTTCTTGAAAAAGTGGTATCTTTCCTAGGAAAGGGTGTTTTTTTTTTTATGACTGATATCTTCCCAAAGTCATAACCAACTCCTTACCTTAGAATCTCTCAACCGAGTGCCCATTTTAGATTCGTAATTACCTTTAATATTAGGTGACAACTTTGAAATTAAAAAAAAAAAAATTCATATCCTCAAACAAACAAATTTTCAACGAATAAATCTTAACTTTTTAGAAGTCTCGCAAACATCGAATAGTGACAATAAGGATTTCACCAACACAACTAGATTTAAAAACCATAAATAACATAAAATGATATATTATGAGAACTTTATTTTTACAATGACACTTCTAAAAACACTTAAAAGTAAGCCTAAGAAAACAAATAATATTGAAATATGAAAAGAATAAAATGACATCAAATTTCATCAAAGTATTAAATAAATATTTTCTCTTTAAACGATTTTTTTTTGTCATTTATTACTTTTCTCTCATTTGAAGAAAATTATCCATAAAATTTTATTTATATTTTTTAAAAAAATCTACTAATTTAAAGACAAATTTATTAAAATAAAGGTCTATAAAATTTTATTCATGTCTATTTATAGAGTTAGATAGTTGAGATTGAGTTCTATCCAAAAGACTTAAGCCTTGTAGAGGGTCATCCTTTCTCAATTTTATATATTACTCATCTTTTGTTTAAGCTGTTTAATATGACATATATTCTTTAACACTCCCTTTTTACTTTGAATCCATCTTTAGAGTTATGTGAAGTGGCTTGGACTCTAAGATCATTATTGAGATGTTGGATTTTTTTAGGCACTAATATCATATAGAATTAAATAGTTGAGATTTGATTTCATCCAAAATACTTAAGCCTTATGGTGAGTGACTCCTTTTCAACTTTCCGTATTAATCATCTTTGACTTGACTATTTAATATGGGATATGTTCTCTAACGATGTCACGTCTATGATAGGATTTATACTCTTCTAATACACCTCATCAAGTAAAAATTTTTCGACTTATAGCTTGCGTAAACCCACCAATAATTTGTTTTTAATTATTTAATTTTAACTAGAAGAAAAAACAAAATGATGAGATTTGAACTCATGAGTGTTTGGTTATTAAGACTCTAATATAATGTCCAAAAGCAATTTCAACACTAAAATTTACATAGACCCACCACTATCTTGTTTTAATTATATAATTTAAATTAAAAAAAAAGATTATGAGATTTAAAATCATAACCATTTGATTATTAATGTTCTCATATTATGTTAAAAGAACAATTTCAATTCAAAAACATAACCTATTGTATTAAGTCTCAATATATGATTTATATTATTTTTGAATACATTCCTTTAAGTGAAAGTTTTTTGTGTTTAAAACTTGTATAGGCACACTACTTTGTGCTATTATATTTTTTTAATGAAAAGATAAAATAAGGATGGTTAGATTCAAACCTTTGATTGTTAAGTTAGTAAAACAATGATACCATATTAAAAGCTCATATCTACCAAAAATTTTAAATAATATAATTTATATTATTTTTAAACATGAATTATCCCTAAACTGTTTATAAGTTTTATTTACATGTCATATAATTAAAAATAAAAAGAATATAATTTAAATGATTAATTTTTTTTCTATTTAAATGTATTCTGCTATGTTGAGGAATTACAACTTTGTAGTGACAATACCCAAACACTTTATGTATGAAAAAACTTTGGGATGAATATTGTCCCTTTGTGACAAAGATTTTGATATCATCCCAAAGATATATGGAAAAATTCATCCTATATTGATAATAATTAGAATGTGAGAGAGGATGAGGTTGGAAGAGGTTAAATAAAATTCACT